TAAATAAATAAATAAATAAATAAATAAATAAATAAATAAATAGTTTTAAAATAGGGACTTGAACTGCCTAGCTGTTGTCTGCGTCACTTCTTCCTCTTCTGTGACTGTTGAAAGCGTCACGGTCCTGGGAGAGTTCCATCATTCATGTTTGATGCTGCGCTGTTAACTTGGCTCTGGCCTTGGTAGAACCCTCTTTCTCCTTCACCTGGGGGGTGGGGGTTGCCTGCTGGGATTCATCATTCATCTGGTCTACTCATGTTTCTGGAGTACCCTCGATGTGCCATGTCTGGGCTGAGCTGTACCCCATCAGGACTCAGCTGTGTGTGTGTGTGTGTGTGTGTGTGTGTGTGTGTGTATCTCTATGTGGGTATGTGCAGAGGACTGCAGATGCCTAAGGAGGCCAGAAGATATCAGATCGCCTGGAGCTTGAGTTATAGGTGGTTGTACACAGCCTGGGTGCTAGAAACTGAACCCCGGTCCACTGGAAGAACAGGAAGCATTCTTAACCACTGAGCCATCTCTCCAGCCCCAGAAATAAGACTTTTAACCTTTTTCTGAGCACCTCCTGAGACATCCTGTCCTGAGTGTTGGGAGTCAGCAGTTGAGCTTGTGGGTAACCTCTGACCAGTCAGTGTACCTTGTTGGTTCAAGTGCACACACACAATGCATGCCTCTTACCCAGGGTAGGGATAGCAATCGTTCACAAGTAGGTGATATGTGATAAATGCTTACCACGAGTTAGGCACCACTATTTTAACTTGATCTTTTTTTAAGTATTAGGATTTTTTATTTATTTATTTATTTTGGTCTTTTTGAGACAGGGTCTCCCAGTAGCCCCAGCTGTCCTGGAACTCACTATGTAGACCAGGCTGGCCTTGAACTCACAGAGATCCACCTGCCTCTGCCTCCTGAGTGCTGGGATTAAAGGCATGCGCCACCACGCTCGGCTTAGTATTAGGAATTTTAAGAACAAAGAACTGGGGAAAGCTATAGGTAACAGATAGTGACCACCAAAATGGCCATTGCTGCCTGATTCAATCGCCATTAAATCTAGAGACTCGTGCTTATGAAACTTAATACTGCATCGAGCCCTGGCGCAGATGGGTGGCTCCTGGCCCAGGTGGGTGGCTTCTGGCCCAGGTGGCCCTAACCAAGTCAGTTCCACAAGCCCCTGGTGCAGGTGGATGGCTCCTGGCCCAGGTAGCCCTAACCAAATCTGTTCCACAAGCCTCTGCTGCCTCAAAAGTAAAGAGGGAGGGTCAGCTGTGCTGGGGGCCAGGCGCATCCCAGCTGACCCTAAGCTTGAGTGGTGGCTTTGACCTCTTCCCTCCCTTCCTAGCTTCTTAGAAGTCAGAGACTATCCATCATCATTTGCCCTACTAGCTTAACACCGAGACACTTGGGTAACTTGGGTGGTTTCTTAAAAATATTGTATTATTGGGGCTGGAGAGATGGCTCAGCAGTTAAGAACACTGGTTGTTCTTGCAGAAGACCTGGGTTTGAATCCCAGCATCCACATGGTAGCTGACAACTGTCTGTAACTCCAGTCCCAGGGGATCCAATAGCCACTTCTGACCTCTGTGGGCATTGCGCGGCATGGGTGCACTGACCTACATGCAGGCAATACACGTATACACATAAAATAAAAATCATGAATAAAATAAAATATTGTATTTATGTGTATGAGTGTGTTGTTGCCTGCATGTGTGCAAGTTCACCTGTGTTGTGCAACCCTCACAGAGGTCAGAAGAAGGTATTAGATTCCATTGGAAAGTGTTCCATGGGAATTAAGAGCCAGGGTTGGATATGAGCGTCCTGGCCCTCCTGAGTCACCGTCAGTCAGGCTTCATGGGGAGAGGAGCAGCTCCCTTCTGGATACCCAGCTGCTTACTGCTTCCCTCTGTCTGCCTTGGCATGACTGCAGATCTATACCGACCCCACCAAGAGACTGGAGCTCTACTTCCGACCCAAAGACCCATACTGCCACCCTGTGTGTGCTAACCGCTTCAGCACCAGCAGCTTGCTGCTGCGGATCAAGAAAAAGACCAGGCGGCGGAAGGGGGTTCTGGGGGCTGAGACCCACCCCGAGGTCACATTCGACTTGGAAGTCCTTGGCATCATCTCCACCATTTACAAGTTTCAGGGTAACTATGACATCTCTAGTGCTGTCGGGTTATTTCAGGGCGCAATGTGGAACCTCATGGGAAGTGGGTTAGGACATGCCCTTGCCGAGGCAGGCTTGTGGACATGGCAGAGCCAAGGTCCTTTTGTGGAAGCCTTCTTTCCCCTCTCCAGCCAACAGGTCTCTGGGGACTGGGAGTACAGGGCCACCCAACTTTTGATACTTTTTTTTTTTTTTTTTTTTTGTGGGGGGCGGGGGTATCTTTTTGAGATGCCTGGAACTCACTATGTAGACCAGGCTGGCCTTGAACTCACAGAGATCCGCCTGCCTCTGCCTCCCAAGTGCTGGGACTACAGGTGTGCGCCACCACGCCCAGCTGCTTTTGATGCTCTTAAAAAACCTAGAAATCTACAGTTCTTTGAGAAACTTTCCAGTTTTAAATAAAACTGTTGTGCGTGACCACTCACCAGTCCCAATTGGTGAGCATACCTCCCCTCTGGTGCCCCAGCATCCGGAACCTTCTCCTAAGCTGGCTTTGAGCTCCTAGGTTCAAGTGAGGATCTGCCTCAGCCTCCCAAGTTGCTGAGATTACAGGGCTGTGCCAGCCTCTGCGCCTGGCTTCCCTGTGGCTCTTGACTGCTCCTGGTCTCATCCCCTCTGAAGTCTTCCCAGCTGACTTGGGTACCATGGCACCTTGTGCTCCTTTGAACTGGATGTTTTATGTAGGCTCCTCAGTCAGATCTGCCTACAGGCTTGGGGGGAGGGCGGGGCCAAGAGAGCCATGGGCCGAACCTGCCTTAGCCCTGCCCCTTAGTTTCTTTCTCTCTCTCCCTCTCTCTCCCCCTCCCTCCCCCTCCCTCTCCTTCCCTCTCCCTCTCTCCCTTCCCCCCATATCATTTTAAGCTCGCATACAGAGTAGGGGGTTCTCCCCTCTCCCGTTCCCCTCACCACTTTCTTTGGGCAGTGACCTGGCCTCCCTCGCCCTCATCTTCCTTGTCTGTGCAGTGGGGGCTGCAGAGCCCAAGGTACCTAAGCCCTGGAGAAGCTTCATGCAGAGCGTGTGAAGGAGCACGTGGGAAGCAGTTGGAAGATGCTCAGCAAGCCTCAGGGAGGTCCAGTTACAGCTGCTGTCATAAGGCAGGACCTTGAAGAGACCAAAGGACTGAGGGGAAATGGAACCAAGAGAGTGAAAGGAAGGCTTCCAGCCTGGCCTACAGCGGGAGCCCGCCTTGAGTGGACAGGAAGGAGAGGAGACCAGGACCTTGGTCTGGGGTCCCTTGGGCTGGGCATTGGTGCTGTCACCCTGGCACAGTGGGTGTCTACTGGTGAGGACTCTCCTTTCTGAGACAAGGCGCTCCTCAGATACCGAAGTCACGTGGCTCTGACTGAGCCAGCACTCTGCTTCTCACTGTAGCCCGAACCAGCAGCTCCCTGGAACGTAGTGAGCATACTGCCTCGCAGGCTGGCGTGGCAGCGGCTCAGTACCCTGGACTGTCCTGTGACTCCCCCCTCCCCAGTCATTCTTCCTGAGCTGATTTGCACATGCATCAGAAGAGGGCTGCACGGCTCTCGGCACCTTCCTGAGAGGACATGGGTGTCGACACGGCGGTGCCCGGCCCTGGGCGCACATCCCTGCTCGTGGCATCCACCGTCTGTCCTTGTCTCTTTCCAGGAATGTCTGACTTCCAGTACTTGGCAGTGCACACAGAAGCGGGCGGCAGGCACATGTCGATGTATGACAAAGTACTCATGCTCAAGCCCGAGAAGGAGGCCTTCTTCCACCAGGAGCTGCCTCTCTACATCCCCCCGCCCATCTTCTCCCGGCTGGACACCCCAGTGGACTACTTCTATCGCCCAGAGACCCAGCACCGGTAAGTGCCCTCTCTAGTGCACCGTCAGGGAGAGAGCCGTGGCCCTGCAGCAGAGGGCTGAGTCCAAGGGTGGACTTGCCACACCTCAGCCTTGGGTTCCCGTCTGGAAAATGGGATGGTTGTAGCACTGCTCAGCAGAGGTATCGGGATTCAGTTAAGTACTTCTGTGTCCTCAGCACAGAAGAAACCCGTCATAAGCCAGATTAGCTCCATTCTCAAAACCCTGAAGTTCAGTGAACTTGGTTGGTTATGAGGCCTGAAGGCTCCTGCCAAAAATGGTCTCTTTGGTTCTAATACCTGATCATTGCTGAGCACCTATTCTCTGGACCCCGCAGTTGCCAACAGTGAAATTACATAAGAGTGCCCCATGTGAGGACCCACTCTGACCCTGACCTTCCCACCTTCTCTACCCGCCATGGCCTCACTGCTCCTGTGCTAGCCAGAGAGTTCATACGCTAACCTGCCTTTCTGCTGTCTCCCTGCAGAACCTCAGCCTGTCTGTCCTGCTGGCCCTCCCGGTTGGCCCCACTGGCTGGAGGTGCCTCCCCTGAGCTGACTCTCACTATGTGTGAGGCTGTGGTCTGTGTCCTCAGGGTTGGTGCTTGGCTGTCTCAGAATCAGTTGTGGGCTTTGCTTGCATTGAGAGCTGTGAAAGCCGTAATAAGACCACATGGGACTCAAGCGAGATGGTCCTTTAATTTATACAGTCTGGACAAAATTAGAGACCCCCCGGGCACTGTCAGATGTTGGTCCCTGGAGGCCAGCCATGCATTGACAGGAAGGAAAAGGATTTCCTTTGTAGCAAAGCCAAGACTGACTGGTATGGATGAGATGAATTTGAACATACCCACTTTGAGATTAGTAATCGTTACCAGCTGTGGCAAAGTGCGGAGCTTGCATATTTTTCTCAGTCTCCTGGTGATTTGCCAGTCCTCTGTCACTACCATTTACAAACGAGCAAGATGGGACTTGGGGTCTTGAGGCCACACGGGAAGCACCGAGCCTGGCCTTGCTCGATCCTGGGTGTCATAAGATTCTTTTCTTTTGCTATTTAAAAACATTTTTTTTAATTTATTATTTTTATTTTATGTGTGAGTGTTTTGCCTGCATATATATAAGTGCACCCATGTCATGCAGTGCCCACAGAGCCCAGAAGAGGGTGTTGGATCCCCTGGAACTGGAGATAAAGATGGTTGTTAGTTGCCATGTTGTTGCTGGGAATTCAGCCTGGATCCTCTGGAAGGCAGTCAGTGTTCTTAACCACTGAGCCATCCCTCTAGCCCCTTCTTTGGCTATTTAGGAAAAGGACTTACTTTGTCAACCCGAGCTGACCTCGAACTTACTGCTGTCTTCGCCCTCAGCCTCCCAAGTGGAACTACAGGCTTGAGTCACCATGCCTAGGACCTTTTCAGAGCTATGTACATAGCACTTTGTTGTGTGCTTCCCAGAGGTAGTGATTTGACCAGCTTTGTTTGTTCTCTGCTGTAACCTTGAGCCTGGCCTTAGGTGATGCCGGCAGCTGTGGCCTAGTGCTGGAAGCCTGGGGAAGTCAGGTTAGCACAGCAGATAAGCCAGAGGAGGAAGGCAGCTCCAAAGAGGGCCCTAGCTGGTAATGTTCCTTAAGGAAGCTTTCTGTAGCTGGCTTTGAGCAGACTTCAGAGATTGGGCTCTGTGTGCTGACATGGTGCACAGTGGGAAGGGCAGGTGTAGAGATAGATGGTGGTGAGACTAGGAGCTGGGAATGTCGGGAAGGTGTGCCGGACCGTGATCTCAGGAGGACCGGGAGGACAGGAACACTCCCTTTCCTCCTGATACTCTTCCTTTGTCAAGCCCTGACCTAGGCCTGCTGGGGCCCAGGGCACTCCCTGGAGCCAGGTACCAGCAGACCTCACTGCAGGGAGCATCTTCTCGGGACTAGGTGCTGGGAGCAAGACAGACGTGAGCAAATGGAACACAGATTGGTGGACTGAGGCTCAAGGAAGGCCATTGAGAACCAAGCAGTAAACATGGGTGATAGCAGGGCTGGGTAGGCAAGGCTTCAGAGAGAACATTCTAGACCAAAGTGTGGCCCATGCAGAAGCATGGGGAGCTGCTGCCTCCAGAGCCAGGGATATTAGGGAGAAGATCTCAAGACTGTGGCAAGGCTTAGGTCTCATTCTAAAATGTGTATTATTTGCTTTAAAAAATACTGTGAGGGTTGGAGAGATGGCTCCTTCAGAGGACCCAGGTTCTGTTCCCAGCACACACTTGGTGCTGTCCATAACTCCAGTTCCCCAGGATCAGGTAGATGTCCTCTTCTGGCCTCCTTGGGCATTGCACACATGTGGTTCACATACATATGTACAGGCAAAACACTCATTCACATGAAATAATAATAAAGTTTTGGGGTTTTTTTTTTTTGTCTTTTTGAGACAGGGTCTCCCTGTAGCTGTCCTGGAGCTCACTATGTAGACCAGGCTGGCCTCAAACTCATAAAGATCACCTGCCTCTGCCTCCCAAGTGCTGGGATTAAAGGCGTGCACCACCACACTTGGCAAAAATAAAGTGTTTTTAAAAAATACTGTGAGCTGGTGGTTCAGTAGTGTGCATCTCTGCTCCCAGGACTGGAGAAACATGGTGGGGTGGGGCTGGGCTGGGCTGGGGTGGGAGATAACTTGAGCCCAAGAACCTGGGCAATGCATCTGTATCCCAGCACTGAAGGTTGAGGATCATGAGTTCAAGGTCACCCTGAGTTACAGAGTGAGACTTGTACTCACAAAGTTGAAAAGGAAGGAGAGGGTGAGGCAGCTCCAGGGACGAGGAGACGGGAGCCCACACTCAGCTGACGTCCTCTGGGGCTTTTCATTCTGTCACATTCTGTCTCCCCACCATCATCTTTCTGAGTGTGAGAGTAAATTGTGCTTGTTAAGAAAAAACAAGTATTGTGAAAGGATACAACCAAGAGGTCAAGTGCCATCCCCTCCCTGCCAAAATCCAGTTCACTGCATGTGCAAGTGCCTGTGGAGATGCTGGGGGTGGGGCAGGAGGGTGATTGCTTTTTCTTAAAAAAAATTTTGCCCAGGTATGGTAGCACATGCCTTTAATCCCACCGCTTGGGAGACACAGGCTGGTGAGATCAAGGCCAGCCCAATCTACAGAGCAAGTTCCAGGCCAACTGTGGCTACAGGGAGACCCTATCTCAAAACACGTAAAAATTATTGACCATGTCCCCTCCCCAGCCCCACCTCCCTGCACACAGTTTCATGCTCTTGTTTTTCGCATTATGTCCAATATGTGTTGTGGTTGACCTACCGGATATCACACCCTTAAGGAAAACTGACTCTTCCCCTCCCAGCTTTAACTCCTCAACTAGGGGTTAAGATTTGTTCCCATTCCGCCCCCCCATGATGAGATCTTACTGATTTTTAATTTCTTTTCAGTTACATTTGTGTGTGTGTTGCACACACACACACGGGTTGTATGGACATCAGAGGTCAACATGTAGGAGTTAATTCTCTCCTATGTCATGTAGATCCCCAGAGTTGAACTCTGGTCACTTGGCTTGTCAGGCTTGGCAAGTGCCTTTATCACCTGGGCCATGTGACTGATTGCTTTTTCAAAGCTGTGTTTCTAAACTGCTTTGATCTATGGAGTGACCCACCCCCACCCCACCCCACCCCCAACAAGCAATTTACCTTGTAGTCAGAAACAAAAATACACAAAAGAAAATGGAACGCTGTGTTCTGCCCCAAGGAGCGGGCAGGCAGCTCTTGCTCTAAGCCGGGTGTAGGTCACTGGAGAAGCCAGCGTCTTTGGACCCACAGGAATGATTCTTTCTTCTGAATGTGGAAAGAACCTGTTTTTCTTCCCCGGGGCACTATCGATTTTTGTGTGTGGCTAGCCTTCCTGGAGGAGGAGGGCCTGGCAGCTTACCTCAGGGACCTCTTCCTGGACCCAGGAAGTTGAGCGTCTCACAGACTTGGGTTGCCGAGGGGAGGTTGGCAGGATGTTGAGCCCCTTTCAGTCCTCAGAGGAACCCTCCAGGGTGGTCCTGCTGACTCTGGTCAGCACTCCGTGACCCCTACCAGCAGTTCTCCACAAACTTAGAATCACTGTGGTCAGTAGACCTAGCTGGGCAGCAGAGGCAAGCCTGGGGCTTTCCCTTCTGTTCGTCTCTGGAGTGAAGGCCTGGCAGTACTGGGGGGTGGGGGGTTCGGGGAGGAGGATAATATACCTGCCGGGGTGGTTCCTGACAGGCACATTTGGAAAGGCACAGACAACCCCATGTTTCACATATTAGCATGAAAACCACCTGTTCTTTAAGATTGCAGATACATGGGTGAGTGGCATGGGCCCAGCTACTCAGGAGACTGAGGAACATTGCTTGAGCCCAGGACTTGGAGACCTACCTGGGTTACATAGCAGTGAGACTGAGTTTACAAAGGAAACAATGAGGGGCTGGAGAGACGGCTCAGCAGTTAAGAGCACTGGCTACTCTTGCAGAGGAACTGTGTTCAATTCCCAGCACCCACATGGCGGCTAAGACCCATCCATAACTCCAGTTTCAGGGGAATCTAGTGCCCTCTTCTGACCTCTGCAGGCATTGCACGACATGGGTGCACTTACATACGTGCAGGCACACATAAAATAATAGTTTAAAAAGGAAACAATGGACCGGTCGTGGTGGCTCAAGTCTTTAATCCCAGCACTCAGGAGGCAGAGGCAGGCAGATCTCTGTGAGTTCAAGGCCATCCTGGTCTGTATAGTGAGTTCCAGGAGAGCTGGGAGACCCTGTCTCAAAAAGACCAAAAAAAAAAAAAAAAAAGGAAATAATGAGCAGGTAATTTACAACTGCCTGGCTGAGGTGGCATGATGTCATGCCCGGGACATACAGTTAAGTGTGCTTGAAATGCTGTAGTGGGGCTGCTGTGGAGGAAGCAGAGGTCACTGGGTGACAGTAGCTGCTGAAGATGGACACATGGGGGTTCTTGGTACTAGCCCCCTTGCATCTGTTCCATATTTCTGACTTCCATCCCTAAAGAATTAACCACTCTGAGAGTGTCAACTTGACACACCTGGGTTGAGGGAGCCTCAATCGGGGAATTGCCTCTATTGGACTGGCCTGTGCCCATATCTATGGGGCATCTTCTTGATGAGTGATGTGCTTGATGAGTGATGTGGGAGGGTCCAGCCCACTGTGGGTGGTGCCACCCCTGGGCAGGTGGGCCTGTGCTGCATAAGGAAGCAGGCTGAGCAGGGGCCAGGGGAGCAAGCCAGTAGGCAGTGTTCCTCCATGGTCTGTGCTCCAGCTCCTGCCTCCAGGTTCCTGCCCTGAGTTCCTACCTTGGGCTCCCTGATGAACTGTGACCTGGGAGATGTAAGCTGAATAAACCCTTTCCTTCCCAAGTTGGTAGTGGTCAGAGTGTTTTGTCACAGCAATGGAGAAACAAAGATGAGGTATCCACCTAGATGTGTTCTATGCCAACACATGTAGAGTTTGTGCATGTGTGTTTTAAAAGTAGTTGTTTAGGTGTGTAGCACACTAAAAGGAAAGCATAGAGATTTTCTATATACTACTGTGTATGAGAGAAACACCCTCATCACTAATCACACATACATAGGAATGGTCTGTTTGTTCTGGGGAACAGACCTCAGGACACACCATCGCTACCACAGTGCAGCTGACATGGGAGTCCCTCGTGTTGTTGGACACCCATGGTGTGGACAGATGGAACCTGGCTTCTAACTGTTGGGCCTCGTCAGCACCATCTGCCCGCACCCTTGTTGGCTTACCTGTGTTGTTCAGGGGCTTCTGTGGCCGGAAGGACAGACGGCTAAGGGACAGCTGCAGCCAGGGCCCGGGGCTGGCCCGGCTCACGTGCCCAGCACTGCTTTTTCATGTTTCCTCATTTCGTGGCCTTAGCTACTTCCTCAGAAACTCCTTCCTTGTAGAATCCTTTTCAGAGTTGGTAAAAAGTCATGTGAAGCAGTGTGGGAAGGCGTAGGTAGCTCTTGTTGGTGTCCACGTTGACAGTTGATTGGGCTTTTGTGGCTGACTCATGATTTCCAGCTGATGGGCCTTTCAGCCGTCCCCAGCCTTTTATTGGCTTGGTGGTACTGTGCAGGACTAGATGTATTTGCAGTTGGGTGGCCACAGCCTTGTGACTGGTGCCCTTTCCCATACCCCAGTGATATAATCCCTGTCTCCCTTGGTGGGCATCCTGAGAACATGTGCTCCTCCAGCAGGCAGAGCTGAGTCTGCTCCACTGAATTCCGAGTGTGGGCCACTGGAGTGGCAGGCCCACTGGACACTCTGCCTTCCCTCCAGGCCTGTGCCTGGGCTGGTCCTCCCTGCTCAGCAGCTCTCTGCCCCCAGGGAAGGATATCACAATCCCTCCATCTCTGGTGAGAACCTGATTGGACTGAGTAGGGCCCGGCGCCCCCACAATGCCATCTTCGTCAACTTCGAGGATCCAGAGGTGCCTGTACAGCCTTTGGAGGCCGCAGTGCAGACATGGAAGAAGGCCTGTACCAACCCCATAGATCAGACGGTGGAGGAAGAGCTGAGGAAGGTGAGTTATCACATCACGTCCAGCCCTCCTGGCCACCATCTCATGGACCGTGTGTTTACCTAGCTGCTTCTGTCATGCATCACCATGGGGTGGCTGGACTTTTTCTAAAACTGGTTTATTAGTACAGGGCAATTTTTTTGCCTCCAGATGTCACATCTAAAAGTCCTATCAGAAGCTGGGTCTGGTAACACAGGCTTGTAGTCTAGCTACGTGGATGGCAGGAGCAGGAGTATCACAAGTTATAGGCTAGCCTGAGCAACTTGAACTCTCAGAAAGTAAAGAGGGCCAGAGATACAACATGTACTTGTCTAGAATTCGCAAGGTTCTGTGTCCAATCCCAAGGACCTGAAAGTCCTACATTCCCAAGGTTGAAAATACTTCCTAGAGTTCTTAAAAGGTCCCTTTGTGGTGAGAAATGGGTGCTTGTTGGAGTGTGACTTTGGTGGAGCCGGGATCTAGCAGGCCTTTGTATATCTGCCTGTAACCCCTGGAATCTGGCCAGGTGCCAGACACTGGTGCCTTCACCCTGGGTAGAGCTGGAGCCATGTCACAAGGCACCGCCTTCCACTCTGACTACAAATGCTATGAAATAGTGTCTGGACTTCTGCTGGGTCCACAGGCCGGACCAAGCCTCCCTTTCTGAATTGAGGCTGAAGACCCCTGTTCAGAGAACAGGTCCTAAGAGACTACATTTTATTGACTCTCGGTGGTCACTGGGAGATGGCATCCTCTCTGGTTCACCACTGTCTTCTGGACAGTTTTAGTTCCTGAGCTGGCTCATAGGGCTTCTCTGCCCTGGCTCTCCATCCTCTCTGCCTTCTTGATGTTCCAGCTCAGGCACTTGCCTTCCAGGTTAGGGATGCTCAGGGTTCTGGGGTTCCAGCATATGCCTTCCCAGCTCTGTTGCCCCACTGCACTGTGAGCTCTGTAAGGATGGACCATGGCTCTGTCACTTCAGGACCCCCACACTGCACAGTTGCACTTGGCCATGCAACATGTACAATGTGTGTCTCTGAGGAAATGGAGATTGGAAGGGAAGGCTGATGGGTGACTGGTAGGTGTGTGGGGGGGGGTCCTACAGGCTTGGTGAGTTCCTGCCTTCCACCAGCTCCTCTAGAAGGGCCCAGACACTCTGTGAGAGAATGCAGGAAGGCCATGGGTTCATCTCAGGCTCTGCCCTTGACCTTCCCCAGCTCTTTGACGTCCGTCCCATCTGGTCACGAAATGCTGTCAAGGCCAACATCAGCATCCACCCTGACAAGCTCAAGATTTTGCTTCCTTTTATGGCCTACTACATGGTAAGTGGCAGCTAGGTTCCCACCAGTGTGGTCCTTGATCCATACTGATCTAATCTGTACATATTAGAGCAATGGTAGTACGTGGCAAACGTATCTCCTAGCATCCCCAAGACAGCTTGTTAAAATTATCTAGAAGGGGGCACAGGAGAGGTGCTTTAGTGCTTAAAAGCACTGGCTGCTCTTGCAGAAGACCCAAGTTCAAATCCCAGCACCCACATGGCAGCTAACAACTGTCCATAACTCCAGTCCCAGGGGATCCGACAGCCTCTTCTGACCTCCACGGGCATTGCACAACATGGGTGCACTTACCTACATGCAGGCAATACACTCATACATGTAAAATAAAAAATTAGCTATAAAGATTTCTAGCCCTAAGTGCACGGTGTATCCACAACTTTTAGTGGCCATATGTGGGTGACTTTGAAGGGGCATTACCCAAGTCATGGGTGAGGGGATTCCAGGATTCCATGCCATAGAATAATAACCTTGTAGTACAAAGTCTTTAAGGAGCTGGGTAAGGCTGCACATCACTTCCTTTCTTCCTTCCTGGGGGTGGCAGTAAGTCCCTTTTTTTTGGTCTTTTTTGCCTTTTTGAGACAGGGTCTCCCTGTAGCCCTAGCCATCCTGGAACTCAGTATGTAGAGCAGGCTGGCCTCGAACTCACAAAGATCCTCCTGCCTCCCCAGTGCTGGGATTAAAGGCATTATTATCTCTGAGGAAATGCCAGGCTCAGAGAGCTGATGTGACGATTCTGCACCCAGCAAGGGCAGAGCTGCCTAAGGCCCCGAAATGAGACAGCAAGTCTCATCTCAACTCCCCAAACCTGCATGGCAGAGTGGCGAAGGCAGTGCATCTTTGGATTCAACCCAGAGGATGGCGATGGGGGTGGTGTTAGAGGGCTTCCCGAAGGAAAGGGGTCCTCAACTGCCAGGGGGAGCCAACATGAAACGACCACAGACGCTGATCATGGGCAGGGGTGCTGTTGGCCTCCACTCTGGAAAGCCACTTTCTCACTGAACGTTGGCTTCTTGGTACTTCTGTAGTGCCATGTGGGGTCAGAAGACATCCATGCACTAGGGCAGTTGTTGCACCGGGTGCCAGGAGCCATGCATGGTAAAGTCTCCTGCTCATGCCCTTCGCATAGAACCTTGGGAAAGATGCTGATGCTACCTTCCTCTGATAGGCAGAGCAAGGCTTGGGAAGGCTGGGTGGCCAGTCCAACTGGCAGAGCCTGCGTGTGGAGCAGCTGGGTGGGACTCTAAAGCCATGTCCTCAGCTCTCGGTCCCAGGCCTTGGCCCTGCCACATACGCAGTACCTTTTTGGTTTTCAGATAACAGGCCCATGGAGAAGCCTATGGATTCGATTTGGCTATGACCCTCGAAAACACCCAGATGCCAAGATTTATCAAGTCCTTGATTTCCGAATCCGTTGTGGAATGAAATACGGTAAAAATAGTGTTGTGCTTTGTTTCCCCCTCGAGTCTCCCATTTCTTGTGCTCTCCTGCTCCTTTTAAATTTTTTTACATTTTTACTTACTGTACTTTTATGTCTGAGTATTTTGCCTGCATGTATGTAAGTGCTCTTGTGTCACCCAATGCCCACAGAGGTCAGAGAGGGCATCGGATCCCCTGGAATGGGTGTTACTGGTTGTTAGCTGCCACGTGGGTGCTGAGTACCAAACCCGAGTCCACCAGTGCTCTTTACCACTGAGCCATCTCTCCATCCCCCTTTCCTTTTTTTATTTTTTATTTTATTTTATTTTTTTTGGTCTTTTTGAGACAAGATCTCCTTGTAGCCCCAGCTGGCCTGGAACTCACTATGTAGACCAGGCTGGCCTTGAACTCAGAGATCTGCCTGTCTCTGCCTCCCGAGTGCTGGGATTAAAGGCGTGCGCCACCACGTCCAGCCTCCTTATTTTACTTTTAATTATTGTTATTTTTTTAATATTTTATTTGTTTGCATTTTATGTGTGTGAGTGTATTGCCTGCATGTAGGTACATGCACCTGTGTCATGCAGTGCCCAAGGAGGTCAGAAGAGAGCATTGGAGTCCCCTGGAACCTTAGTTACAGATGTTTTCAGTGCCATGTGGGTGCGGGGAGTCAAACCCAGGTCCTCTACAAGAGCAACCAGTGTTCTCGAGCACTGAGCCGTCTCTCCAGCCCCCCTTTCCTGTGCATGTGTCTGTGTGTTCCCAGGTACATGCCTGTGTGTGCACACAGAGGCCAGAGGAGAGTGCTGACCACCCTCTGTCACTTTCCACCCAGTTCTTTGAGGCAGGACCTCTTCATGAGCTAGGGCCCACACTGTCTCAGCTAGATCAGGAGACAGCAAGACCGATAGTCTTCCCATCTTAGTCCCTCCCCAACGGGGTGGACATGTGCGTGTGCGGGTGCTTGTGCTGTGGGTGCTGGGACCTAACTCAATACTATGGTCACATAGCAAGCACTCCTAACCACTGAGCCGTCTCTCCAGCCCCCTTTTCTATCACTCTCTAATAAGAGTCTGCTCCTTTGGAGAGATTAGAAACACTTTCCCACCTCCCCGAGACCCTCCCACCCCAAGAGTCTGTGGGACATACAGTAGTTCGGAAACGGAAGTGGCAGCTCTTTGCTGGCTACACTATGTCCCTCTAGTTCTATGAGCCAATGAGTGACCTGTGTGACCTGTGACATGCCCCTACTAAGTCTCTGCCCATGTCGGCAGGGAATCAGCATAAGAGTGTCAACTGCCAGCCAGTGTGGGAGCTGCTTACTATGCGGCATCCATTCTTCTAGTGGGCAGCAACTGGGATAGCCTTTCTCTGGAGGTGGCAACTTTGTAAACCGGGCCCTGCCTTAAGATAAAGCCTTGACTATTGGCCAGATGGGCTCCCTTGTGATCCACGGCCCTTGCATGCAGGTTACGGCTCCAGGGATATGCCTGTCAAAGCAAAGCGCAGTACCTACAACTACAGCCTCCCCATCACCGTCAAGAAGACATGTAAGTGTTGGTCCCCCGACCCCAAGACACGACCAAACGAGGTGGGCATCTATCTGCACAGGAAGATGGGAGGCGCTGCCCGGGTATCACTCCAGGGGTTTGCCGGCCATTCCTGGACACAGAGGAGGATGCAGAAGGGCAGGTGGGGTGGTCCTCAGTCCCTGTGTGCCAGAGCACTGCCTTGCCCCCATGCAGCCAACCAGCCTGTCACCATGCACGACCTGAAGCAGGGCCTGGGCCCCTCAGGGACGGACGGCCCCCGGAAATTGACCTACAACAAGTACAGGCTCAAGGTGGGTATCCCCATGGGGTCTCCCTCCCCTCGTGGGTCGTTGTGTTACCAGGTTTTTGCATTAGAAAAATGTGTAGATAAGGGGTCTTGTCTACACCTGTGTGGGCAGTCGGGGTCCATTAAGAGGGCTAAGAGCCTTTGGCTAACATCAGGGTGTAGCTCTGATCAGAAAGCCTCAATTGCTCCTTCGTCTTTAATGGTCCCACGCAAAGACTCAGACCGAAACTAAAAGGAAAAAGAGGAGAGACTGCCGATCCTCAAGGGTGGGATGGCCAGGGCAAAGCTGGCCTCTTGGTGAGAGGGGGTACTCACAAACTCTGCACATTCCAGGAACCCCACGTTGGGCGCCAGCTGTGGGGTCTCTCCCTTCTCTTGTGGGTCGTTGGCCACTGTTCCACGAGGACAGTTGGCCACTGTTCCACGAGGACAAAGGGAGCAGAAGCGATGAACGGGCTCAGGAAGGCCAGTGAGCACTGACGGAAGAAAGCCCTTCAGGGAGGCAGATTCAGTGATACAAACAGCTCCAGACTCAGTGATACAGCTCCATTTCTTCATGGGGGTCAGGGGAAATATAGTGTGGAGGCGGCAGCCAAAGCTTCAGCTGATAGGGCTCATAGTGTGCTTTATTTACATGTGGTAGAGGGATCCTATCATCCGACTATGGGGTTTTTTTTTAGGAAAAACCTGGGGGCAGTTTTTTTTTGCAGGTAACTATGCCAAAGGTCATGTTCCAAATAAGGTCAGGCATCCGTGCTTCGTGGCACTTTCCAGGTAAGTCAGGCAGAGAGCAGGAGGCCCCCGCTGAGAAAGGGAGTCCTTCCATATAGTGCCAAACCCCTTAGAGCTATCCAGACATGGAGGATTACAACCCTAGCAGCAGGGTTCCCCAACACCCCCCAAGCTCCAGGGGAGATCAAGGGTAGGATGAGACAGGTGACGCTGGGGAGGGGCTTTGATTCATCTCTCCATCTCCCCGTACCTTTACCTCACTCCCACCCAGGGCTGAGCTGCCTCATCTGCCTCTCCAGGACCTTCTGGGGATGGAGAGTTTGCTTCCTCCACATCTACTCCCTAGCCTCTGCCTGCTGCCCAGGTCCTGGTGACAAGCCAACTCCTTAGAGACCCCCTTGGAAGCCACAGTGTGGGTGCCCCACACGACTAATCATCCCATTCTCTCCCCTCCTTTCCACAGGACTCTGTCTACATCTTCCGGGAGGGTGCCCTGCCCCCCTATCGACAGATGTTTTACCAGCTGTGTGATTTGAATGTGGAAGAGTATGTGTATGAGGGTCCTGAGCTATGAATGACCCCTGGGGCTCTGGGCAGTGCTGGGACATTGCTTGAGACAACATCAAGGGTGGGGTGCCAGCACAGAACAAAACAAAGCAGCATGGGAAGTCTGGGGAAAATAAGTTATTACCAGAAAAATGTGTGTGAGCACACACCCAGCTTTGTGCAGTCTCGGGGTCCAGAGATAGGTTAAGGAGCTCAGCCGGGACTCTACTTCTTGTGTGCCCCTCATTACCCAGAGCTTAGAGCTGTTTCTCAGACATCTCTGTCAGAACTGCCTACTGGTGCCTCTAAGCAGAGACCCACCCTGAGACTTTGTATCCCAGAAGCCTCCTATTCACAGAGACCCAATTCAACTCTGTCCTATGAGCCCCACCCCATAGAGCCCGGTACTGGGACTCTGTATCCTGTGAACCCCTCACCCTGGGACTCTATAGCCTGTGACCCCCCACCCTAGGATTCTGTATCCTGTGAGCCCCCTACCTTGGGATTCTGTATCCTGTGAGTCCCCAACCCTGGAATTCTCTACCCTGTAAGCCTCCACCCTGGGATTCTCTACCCTGTGAGCCCCCCACGCTGGGATTCTCTATCCTGTGAGCTCCCCACCCTGGGATTCTGTGTCCAGTGAGCCCCCTACCTTGGGATTCTGTATCCTGTGAGCCCCCACCTACAAAGAGCTCTCTGCCCACAGGTTGCAGAAAATTGTTCACCGCAATGATGGAACCGAGAGTGTATGCACAGAGCGGGATGGGTGGTGCCCCCCCAAGACCACAGACCACCTGAGGGACAGCATGTCCCTCATGATCCTGCAGACCATCCGCTCCAAGAGGCCTGGTGAGAGCTGCTTGTGTGCAGGGGAGGCACAGGCCTGTTTGAGAAATGGCACCCGGAGCCTCTTGCATCTCACTTGGTGGAAGGGAGCCTGTGAGCTAGGGTTCAGTCAGGGACCCACATCCTCCTGCTACCTGGAACAGGAGTTGTGACACTTAGCACTGGGGTCCAGGCAGGAAGAGAGGGTCTGTTGTGACTGACCCCTTTGCAAGCTCTTCCCGTCTGCTCCCACTGGGGGGTTGGGTGGCATCACCCTGCACTGCATTTCCGAAATCAGCCCAAGTAGGCCATGGGCAGTGGGAAGTTAAGCAAGCACTTGCTGACTAGGGGATTATGTGTCTGGAGCAGTGCTTTGTAGCTGTGTTTGGGGCCAGGGCTCAACCCCTTGGGAGTCCATTGAAAGCTGTAAACCTTTTAAAGTGTGTGGGGCCTGAGGCTGCCCATGGTTCTCCCTAGAAAATGGTTTCAATCCTGCCTGCCTGGATGACCCCTAGAGTGCTTGTTAGGCTGTGCTTCCTGGTCCCCCACCCTGCCACCCTTAGCCTCTCCACTGCTTGTCGTAAATGGGCGCCGGGCCACTGGGAAGCCTGCATTGGGACACACGGCCTTGCTTCCTTCTGGCCCAGCGCTATTCTCCGACACAGGTAAGGCTGATCGTGCAAAAGGGCAGCTGATGTTTGAGTCTGGGGAGGAAGAGGAAGAGGAAGAGGAAGAAGAGGAGGATTTCAAGCCCTCAGATGGAAGTGAAAATGAGATGGAGACAGAGATTCTGGACTACGTGTAACCAAGCCCTGGGTACGCAGGTGAGACTGGCGTCTGTCCTGATGAAAGCCAGAACAAGGTCACGGGAGTGAGGACAGTCCTAGAGGCACCTCTGAGGATAGCCAGCGTCCTCCCAAGCAGGCCCTGGCTCTGGCTGCAACCTGCTCGTGCTGCCCTCAGCCCTGGGTGATGACAGTTCTGACTGCACTCAGGTGATCTAGTGCTAGCAGCTGGCGGAGGCCAGAGGTAGAGATGGTAGAGCCAGGGGCACCATCCTGCCAGGCCTCCGAGACTCGTGGCAGATGTCCTGAGGGACCTGATCCATCATCACAGACAGCCAGACAGCCCTTGGCTTGGACACCATTCATTTGGGACAGCTGTTAAAGCCAGGCCCGGCCAGATTTCTTTTCTTTTTTTTTTGGTCTTTTTGAGACAGGATCTCCCTGTAGCCCCAGCTGGCCTGGAACTTGCTATGATCCACCTGCCTCTGCCTCCCAATTGCTGATTAAAGACTTGGGCCATCACACCTGGCACAGATTCTTATTAAATCAACTTTCCCAAGGAGTCTGGGTGTCGAAGCATGGGGGTTAGAGTGGTGTGTTTCCTTTCGTTTGGGGCACTCCCGCATCCCCTTTTTCCTGCACTTATTTAGGGACATGCTAGTGTACCGTAGTGGGGCAGTTGGGACAGGCCCCATCCAGGGGTTGAGATGAGGACGCCAGATGGCCCCAGACCAGCCTCATCCTGACTTCGCAGAAAGCATACTCTTCAGCAGTTCTCTAGAAGACTTGTTGGCTCAGCTGCTTCCTGTATGTATGCAACCAGAGACTGTCAACTCCTGCCAAGACTGCCTCCCTAAGGGTCCCCTGTGTACAGCCTCCCACACCCCCCAGGGTGGCAGCACCATTTCCTGCAGGGTGCAGAGCCAGCACGGGCCATCAGCCTACTTCTGTGTGGCCTGGGTCACAACAGCCTGGCACACAAAGTCAAGTCACATCAATTCCAAAGCAAACGCCCCAAGTTGGCCCTGTCTTGTGTCAGAACCCCTTGTTTCATTGGTCTAGTGACCACTCCTGGGAACCAGCCCTGCATGGGGAGGAATGGGACAGACCCCAGTGTTCCCTGCTGCAATGGAGGCAGAGGCAAGAAGCACTTCTCTAAGGCCATCCAGCCTTACCTGCTCTCCCTTTCTGTGCCCCTCTGCGGGACTTCTGGGAGCAGCTGGTGTCTGCCAGGGAGGGGGTGGGGGATGCCTTGATTCTATGCAGATCTGAGGAAGGTGCTGAGCCAGGGACCCCATGCTCTCTGTCCCCATGCCATCTGTAAGTAGGCCTTACCTCCACAGAGCCCAGGGCCGTGCCAGCCACCTTAGGTCTGCCAGACTAAGGTCTACCCAAAATTGAAAAAGTATGGTGATTCCCTCCTGGAAATTCCCTTTTAAATAAAAGTCTTTCTTATGAGAATCTCAAATGTCCTCAGAAGTCCTGGTATCAGGAGTTACTGAATTTTGCCAGTCTTGTTGCAGAGCCTCCCCCCCCAATCTCTTACTTGGTTTTCTATTGTTTGTTTTGCTGGCCCTGTTGTTAACGAAACTCTCTCCTGATCTCTAACATAGAGTGGCTACACAAGGACGCTTACTAGTGGGCTTCTCCAGAACAGCGACACTGGGACGAGAGTAGCCTGGGCTTTGTCTAGCAGTTGGCTCACGGTTCACAGTCTGCAGGGGCGGGAGGCTGGACCCAGCAGAGGGCCGCATCCCTCCCACCCAGAGAGGAGTCCTTTCTCCAGTCTACAGCCAAACACATGAGCCCACCCACATGGAGTATACACAGCCTTGTCAACCTTCATTGATTCAAACAGCATTTCATCTAAAAACAGTTTTACAGAAACATCCAGAATGTTTAACCAAGTATCTGGACACCATGGTTAGCCAAATTGACTACCATACCCAATAGAATTTCCAGTAATTTCTAATCACCTGAAAGTCTCAGAAATGTCTTTTTACCTTTGGGTCGGGATTCAAACAAGCTTCTCTTGCTTGCCTTTTGCCTCCTGCCATGAGATGAAGCAATCCAAGACCCTGGCCAGAGGCTGAGCACATGCAGGCTCCGTGATACTGGACCCCAACTGAGCCAAAATAGAGCAGCCTCAGGTGTTCTCTTACAGCAACAGAGAACTGCCTGTTTTGGGTTTGGCTGCCTGCTTTCTGATTGTGTTGGATATCCTCCTCCCTCTCTACGTACTTACTGTGAACTTGAAGAGTTTGTGTGTGTGTGTGTGTGTGTGTGTGTGTGTGTTCACCCACCCCCAAGCACATGCAGCGCCCACAGAGGCCAGAGAGAATGTAGGATCCTCTCCAGCGCTGTCTGGTGGGTTTTATCAGCCATTTATCACAGTGTCTAGATCTAATACTTAGGGAATGCAAAATGGTAATTTAAAAAATATATTTTTTTTTATCAGTGCACTGCCTGCATGTGTGTAAGTGCACCTGTGTTGTGTAATGCTTGTGGAGGTCAGACGAAGGTGTTCCCCTGGAACTGGAGTTGTGGACAGTTAGCCACCATGTGGGTGCTGGGAATTGAACCCAGGTCCTCTGTAAGAGCAGCCAGTGCTCTTAACCACTGAGCCATCCCTCCAGCCCCACAAAATGATAATTTTTAATCCTCTCCTCTCTGCATTTCTGGAATTCTCTGAAGGACTCTTCCTCCTTATCCAACTACTCTGAAATGCCACTTGGTCAGGAAGGCAGGATGCCTGGCTTCCCCTTGATTGGTTTTCACAGTGCAGGAGCTCCTTGATTAGTGTGGTTGTGTCTCTGTAAACCCACCATACACTGGAAATAACAAAGGAACGTGTATGTGCTGCACCCAGCCTGAGCAGTACAGCCCACCTGACCACACTCAGAACACTTAACGGTAATCTGCAGTTGGGCAGAATGTTCTCACACAGTCTTTTCTGACTGTCATTTGAGAGTGTAAACAGGGTGCACCTTTTCCTAGGGAAGGGTGCCATGTCCCCGGGCTACCATCCTGTCCCTGGGCTACCATCCTTTGGTATGTTGGTCAGATTTTGTCACTGGGACAGAATGCCTGAGGAAAGTCGGCACGGAAGGAGGAAAGGTTTGTGTGGCTTCACACTTCAGAGATGCCAGTCTGTGGCCACTTGGCCCTGGTCCTTTGTGGCAGTCTGTCATGGTAGAAGTTTATGGCTGAGGGGGACTGTTCGCGTCATGGTGGCTAGGGAGCAAAAAGAAAGGACAGGTGGGGGAGCCTAACCCCCCGCCTTTTTGAGACAGTCTCTCAAAGCCCAGGATGACCTTGAACTCCTGTGCCACCCCCCGGTTTGTGCTGAGGATGGAACCCAGGGCCTTGTGCATGTGTCTTTTCACAAAAGGGGGGAAAAGTAGAGCTGGATGGCTCAGTGGTTAACACTGGTAGTTCTTGCAGAGGACCCGGGTTCGAATCCCAGCACCCACATGGCAGCTATCAACTGTCCATAACTCCAGTTCCAGGGGATCCGACAGCCTCTTCTGTCCTCCGTGGGCATTGCACAACATAGGTGCACTTACCTACATGCAGGCAATACACATACACATAAAATAAAAATAAAATAAAAATAAAAATTTAAAAGGGGGGAAAAGAGTTCATGCAGATATTTCCCAGTAAAAATGTAAGATTAAGTGGTTTCCTTCTGAGTTTGTGCAGTTTTTACATATTTGTCAAAAACAAATCTTGATTTCTGGCGACACCAGCAGACCGCTCAGGCTCACCTGAGTCCCTGCACTGCTTCCTCCAGGCAGGTTCTGCTGCTGATGTGCCTTTGAGCCTGCAGGCCGTTGCCGCTCGGTGCACAGCTGGGTCCTCTGCAACCTTTGAACACATTGCCCTGCCTGAAAACAGTTTAAAATGTTTCTTCCAGGTGCCTGTAGACAAGAAAAGGAAGTGTAGACCCAGCTGTGCTGAAAACTGGTGTGAGTTCCCTGAGGGAAGGGAGGGTGGGAAATGAGGGAGACTGAGGTCCGGGCCACACAGCACTGGAGTGCAGCAGCAGGCCCGGCCCAAGTCCTCGCAATTCTGCTTTATGTGGCACCAACATGGGTAAGTTTGGTCTTTAGGAAAACTATCTTTACCTTGAACCCCACCACCACCACCACCACCACCTTCCTACCTCACAAACCAGGGAAAAACAAACTTTGGGGGCTAGGCCTGGTGGCTCACACCTGTAATCCTAGCATTTGGGAGGCAGAGTCAGGGGAACTCCTGAGAGAATTGAAGCCAGCCTGGTCTACATAGTTCCAGGCCAGCTGGGGCTCCAGGGAGACCGTGTCTCAGAAAAAGGGAAAAAAACTTAAAACTACTTGCCTAAATTCCGGAGCCTCATGTCAGTGGTTTCCTCCTTGGTTAGCTCTATCAGTTCGTTCTGGTGAATCCAGCCTAGCCTTTAGGGGGTCTCGGACTCTCCAAGCTTTGGTGGTGGCTGTGGGCTCTTGGTAGAGAACTCTGTGCCACAAACAAGCATATACAGTCTTGGCGTGTGACAGATTGTGTGCATGTGGGTCTGTCACTGACAGAGCTGGATTTGTGGGGGGGTCTGTCACTGTGACAGAGATGGGCCACTCCAGTGGGCAGTTTTGACGTCAAGGGACTCGATTCTGCTCTGTTGCTGTGAGCCTGCTGCTGCTCTGCTGGTCAGTGTTTGTCAGCTTGATACCTGGGAAGAAGGAGCCTCAATTGAGGGGCTTTCTGTATCTGACTGGCCGGTGGCCACGGCTGTGGGGCATTTTCTTGGTTGCTAGTTATGTAGAAGAGCCCAGCGCACTGTGGGTGGAGCTATCCCTGGGCAGGTGGCCTGGGCTCCATGGTGTCTGCTTCAGCTTCTGCCTCCTGTCCAGCCTTGAGTTCCTGCCTAGGCTTCTGTTAGAGATGAGCTGTGCCTTGGAAGTCTAAGATGTCCTAGTTTGTTTCTCCATTGCTGTGACAAAACACTGACCAATACGAACGTGGGGAGGAAAGTGTTTATTTAGCATACATCTCCCGGGTCACAGTTTGTCGGGGACCCAAGGCAGGAACTCAGGGCAGGAACCTGGAGGCAGAAGCTGGAGCACAGGCCATGGGGGAATCACTGCTTACTGGCTTGCTCCTCTGGCCCCTTCTCAGCCTGCTTTCTTATGCAACACAGACCCACCTGCCCAGGGGTGGCACCGTCCACAGTGGGCTGGGCCCTCCCACATCACTGAATAATCAAGAAGGTCCCCTCAGACATGGCCACGGGCTAGTCCTGTGGAGACAATTCCCTCATTGAGGCTCCCTCTACCCAGGAGTATCAAGTTGACACTAAAGCTCTCCAGCACAGATGTAATAAACCCTTTCCTTCCCTACTTGCTTTTTGGTCATGGTGTTTGTCACAGTGACAGAAAGCAAACTAATACATGCTCTGAAAGGAAGATATGAAAAAAGTCTTCCTCTTCCTCTCCCCTGCCTCCCCTCTGTCCTCATCTTCCTCCTTCGCTACCATAAATGCTGCATTCCTCACCTCTACCCCAGTCCAGAACTGCTTCCTTTAGCTCGGGTTCTCAGAACCAGCTGGCGAGACCAGGAAGCATGTTCGCCTCTGCTGCGTGTCAGTTTCCCTTTCCTACCTCTCTCACCCTCCGCCCACCCATTCCATGCCATGGAGACCTGCACACCAGTGGTTAAGAGTACATACTGCTCTCTCAGAGGACCCAAGATCAGTTTCTAGCATGCACCCATGCTGGGTGGATCACAGCCACCTGTAACCCCAGCATCAGATCCTTAGGCCTCTGTAGGCACCTGAACTCAACATGCACATACCCACACATACACATAATTAAAAAGCAAATAAATAGCTACACATGGTGACTTGTGCCTTTAATCCCTTGGGAGGCAGAGGCAGGTGGATCTCTGTGAGTTCAAGGCCAACCTGGTCTACATAGTGAGTTCCAGGCCAGCTGGGGCTAAAGGGAGACCCTGTCTCAAAAAGAAAAGAAATCTTGGAGCTGGAGAGATGGCTCAGCGGTTAGAGCACTGGCTGCTCTTGCACAGGACCCGGGTTCAATTCCTAACACCCACATGGTAGCTAACAACCATCTGTAACTCCAGTTCCAGGGGAATCCGATGCCCTCTTCTGACCTTCGTGGGCATTGCACGTCATGGGTGCACTTATACACATGCAGGCATACACTCATTCACATAAAAATAATAAATTTTTTTTGTCTTTTTGAGACGGTCTCCCTGTAGCCCCAGCTGACCTGGAACTCACTATGTAGACCAGGCTGGCCTTGAACTCACAGAGATCCGCCTGCCTCTGCCTCCCAAGTGCTGGGATTAAAGGCGTGCACCACCGTGCCCAGCTATTTTCTTTTTTAAAAAATATTTTGTTAGTCTCAAAAAGACAAAAAAAATCTTAAGAATGGTGGTCTCGGGGCTGGAGAGATGGCTCAGCAGTTAAGAACACTGGTTGTTCTTGCAAAAGACCGGGGTTCGAATCCCAGCACCCACATGGGAGCTGACAACTGTCTGTAACTCTAGTCCCAGGGGATCTGACAGCCTCTTCTGACCTCCGCGGGCATTGCACGACACGGGTGTACCGACCTACATACAGGCAATATGCACGTACACATAAAATAAAACTTTTTAGAAAGAACAGTGGCCTTTCTTGATGACCTTGCATTGACCTTCACTTCGGGGTTCTCTCCCCCCCCTCCCTCCCTCTATGCCTCTACCCCTCCCTGGCTTTGTCTCTTTCTGGGTTTTTCCTAAGGTCCCTGCTTGGGGCATAACCTGAGTGAATTCCTCAGAGAAGGGCCCTGCCCAAGTAGGGGGCATGAGGTAGCGGGGACATGCTAGACATGTCCCTTTGTCTGAAGGTGCCACTAAGCCCTGGTAAATGGGTCATGATGCAGGACACCCAGCCAGGTTTTGCGAAGCCCCAGTGAGCCAAAATATAGGGCTCCCAGCACCTAGCCAGGCTTGACCCTGCGAAACCTCCCCCCACAGACACCACGCCACCTGCCTTTGCTCCCAGGTAGGCAGTAACCCACACAGCTGCAGTATGGGCACGAGGGAGGGTGCCTGGGACCAGCCTGGGAAAAATAGACCATCCCACACCTGTGCATGCGTATGCGCATGTGTATGGCTTGAACACGTGAGCCCATGTGCTTGCACACGAACTTGGCTCCAGCTTCATAAATACCCGAGACACAGAAGCACTGCCCAGGGCCAGAGGACACACCATGGGGCGACTGGAGCTGCTGGTTGTTAGCCTGACCTGCTGCTTGGCAGCGGCAAGTGCCGCACAGGTAGGTAGACGTCCTGAGACATGGCCCTCTTTCCTCTTGAGTAAGATCTGGGAACTGGGCACAGGCAGACAGGTCACAGGCAGGAAGAAGCCAACGGTCTTGCCAGTACTTCTGGGTTCTGGCCGTGTGTGGGCTCTGCTCAGCTTGTCTCCACAGAAGGCTCAGTACAGCAGGTGCAATTCAACTTTAATTTCAGATAGCCGGGAGCAGATGCTGCTGCAAGGTTTGGAGCAGATTTATACTACAAAAGGCCACTGCTTCTCTGAAGTTCAGTGTGTCGTGGTCTCTCAGTTTACTGCCAAGTCTGACAAGCCTAACTACAATACCCCACTTTATAGATAAGAAAGGAGGGGCCCAACACGGACAAGGGGACTTGCCCAACGTCACACAGTGACCACGTCCTCTTCTCAAATAGGAATCTGAAATTTCTGTTCCAAACCAGGGGTTCAGCCAGGCGTGTGGCACACACCTTTAATCCCAGCACTTGGGAGGCAGGGGCAGGCAGATCTCTATGACTTCAAGGCCAGCCTGGTGTACAATGGCACGTTCCAAGCCAGCTACATAGTGAGACCCAGCCTTGGAAAACAAGATAAAAAGCAAGATGTTAGCTCTGATTTCTTCGGGTGCCTGCAAAGTCTGCCCTTTAACAGCCCTTCACAGGAAGCTTGACAGGTGCAGAAAGACCACATGGGTCTCACCGGGGACCACAGATCCTTGCCTGTTCTCTCTTAACCTTTATCTTGCTTGCTCCGTCTTGTGACCTAGGGACTGTCCTCCCATCCCCTGACCCTTGAACCTGGAAGTTGAGGTTCAGGGCACCAGCCATGGGAGGGAAGTCATTCTTTCTTAGGAGAGTCCCTTTGGGGTGTTGAAGGGACCTGAACCTCCCCCTGCATTGCAGCTGTCACTCCCACCTGCCTCTGGCCAGGGTGCCCACATCCTGGGGCCCTTCCTGAAACCCTCAGATCAGTCACTGTCACACAGAGACACTTGTGAGAGTTGACTTCCTAGTCCCTTAGGCACAGAGCTGGATTTCTGCCCCTCCCAGCAGCCTGGGGGCTGGAACAAGGAACCTCAGATGCCCCAATTTCCTGGGGAATCTTTCTGGCTCCTTCTTTTTTCCTGTTTCTTCACCTAGTATGGTAGAGGGCCCAAGGGCCTGGACTTCAGAGGGCTGGTGGTCCCTGCTGGGCCTGCGGCCACAAGCACCTACTTCCCCCACCTAGAACCTTGCAGAAGTGTCATTGCCACCCTTGTAAGCAGAGCTGGACTGTGCAGGCAGCACTGGGAAGGGACAGTGCTAGGCCCAGAGGCTTTGCCAACAGGGTGACTTCAAGCAGGAAGGCCCTGCACTTCAAATTCCAGGACAGTGAGCTGGGCACCCAGTGACAGTACTGATGAGCCTGTTGGACAGGGTCGTTCCCAGCAGGGAGCACAGGGCTGTGGGGATTTCCATGTGATGTGGGGCCATGAGTTCCATGCCCAGCCAGCTAGGTAGGCACTTAGGAGAGGAGAATGAAGTAGAAGAAAGAAAGATCAGGTCTCAAACTCACGGCTATGTTGGAAACATTCTAGATGCACAGAGCATCCGCCACTGTCAGCAGTTAGGCCTTCCCTCTGATGACCCTCGGGCCTTGGGAGAAGGAAGAAACTGCTGTGTCCCATTTAACATATGGGGAAACTGAGGCTCCAGGTCTCAGCTGTGACCCAGACCTCTACCCTGGCTGAGTGGAACATGGGCTGATGTGGTTTCAGATGGCTACAGGAAGATGCCTGGGGGGGGGGTGGAGCTGTAAGCCAGCCCTCCCCCAGCAAGTGCCAGGGGACCCACCTTGTCTTAGCCCCTTTGGAAACTGTTCTGGGGATCCCGCCAGCCCCCTGAAGCCTTCTGTCAGTCACTCTGGACTCAGCACCCTGTCTCACCCTTCTGTGTCTTCCCCGCAGTTGGGTGCTGTGTACACAGAAGGTGGCTTTGTAGAAGGTGTCAACAAGAAGCTCAGTCTCCTGGGTGGTGACTCTGTCGACATCTTCAAAGGCATCCCTTTTGCCACCGCCAATACCCTGGAGAATCCCCAGCGTCACCCAGGCTGGCAAGGTGCATGCTGGATGACAGGCTGGCCCCAGGTGAGGGTGATGAGGAGCTGCCCTGCTCACCAGCCCCCTCTCTCACTGCAGGGACTCTGAAGGCCAAAGACTTCAAAAGACGATGTCTGCAGGCCACCATCACCCAGGACAGCACCTATGGACAAGAAGACTGCCTCTACCTGAACATCTGGGTCCCCCAGGGCAGGAAGCAAGGTCTGCTCCCAGCTCCCCAAAGGAGCCCCCATTCTGCCACTCTGCCAGAGCTCTAGGCTCTGCCTTGGGTAATATTGGGGGGATGCAAAACTGAACTCCCTCAAAATCAGGGTTGAGTCAAGGAGGGGGCACCCACCGCTGGCCCTCCCAGCCTGGGCAGAGTGCCTGCTTGCTGCAACAGAGGTAGTGAGCTGGCTGGAGGGGTGTGGAGTCTGAAGTCCCTGCCTGCCCCTCCAGTATCCCAGAACTTGCCGGTGATGATCTGGATCTATGGAGGTGCCTTCCTCATGGGAGCAGGCCATGGGGCCAACTTCCTCTCGATCTATCTTTATGACGGGGAGGAGATCGCCACACGCGGCAACGTCATCGTGGTCACCTTCAACTATCGTGTTGGCCCCTTGGGCTTCCTTAGCACCGGCGATGACAACCTGCCAGGTCTGCTGGGCATCTCTGGTGTTGGGGGTAGGACAGCCAAAGTGCTGGATCCCATGAACTCTGAGCCCAGTGGAGGGATGTTCCTTAGTACCCCTTGACCCCAACCATCTCCTGCCTGCCCTGGGGAATAGCCCAGAACATTCTTCATGGAGTCCTGGTGCTGAAGCTAAACTGGGAGACCTGGGAGCTCCTGGCAGTTGTGGAGAAATAAGAAAGACAAGGAACAGACAGCATGAGAGAAACAGGGAGAGGCCATGGGAGTAAGGCAGGGAGCTGAGGCAGAGTCTGGTGGACAGGGAGCTGTAAGACAGACAAACGGGACTGGAGGCTGAGGCAGAGTCTGGTGGACAGGGAGCTGTAAGACAGACAAACAGGACTGGAGAGAGGCTCTTGCAGAGGACCCAGGTTCAATTCTTAGCACCCACATGGCGTCTAACAACCATCCATAACTCCAGTTCCAGAGGATCCAACACCATCTTCTGACTACCGCAGGCATTGCACAACATGGGTGCACTTACACACATGCAGGCCAAACACTCGTACACATAAAAATAAAAATAATAAATAAGGCCGGGCGTGGTGGCACACGCCTTTAATCCCAGCACTCGGGAGGCAGAGGCAGGTGGATCTCTGCGAGTTCAAGACCAGCCTGGTCTACATAGTGAGTTCCAGGACAGCTGGGGCTACAGGGAGACCCTGTCTCAAAAAGACCAATAAATTAAATAAATAATAAATAAATAAAATGTTTTTTTAAAGACAAGCAACAGAAGGAACCTTGGTAAGGAAAGGAAGATTAGTAGGCCTGCTGTCCTTCCCTGTACTGGCACCCCCCTCCCAGCCCTCCTCAGCCCAGCCTCCTGGGGGCCCACCATTTGCCCTCCTAGGCTCTCCCAGGGTGTCAGTTCAGTTGCAGACACCTCCCTCCTACCCACCTTGACTGACCTTCCACTGTGGGCACTGGGTTGCTCATCTCAGGCTTCTACCAACGCCAGCTGAGCACCCTGGATGAAAGCCACTCCCTCTCCTCTGCCCTCAGGTAACTACGGACTTCGCGATCAGCATATGGCTATCGCCTGGGTGAAGAGGAACATAGCCGCCTTTGGAGGGGACCCCGATAACATCACCATCTTTGGGGAATCTGCTGGAGGTGCCAGTGTCTCTCTGCAGGTCTGGTGTCCCCTTGTGCGGAAAGTCTGGGAGGGAGCCAGTGGGGCCCAGGATGATGGGCAGATCAGAGTAGGGCTGGATTGGATGGTTGGGAGCCCTCAGCCCAGGGACAGCCTGTTCATAAATTTTCTGGGTGTTGTAGACCCTTTCCCCCTACAACAAGGGCCTCATTCGGCGAGCTATCAGCCAGAGTGGTGTGGCACTGAGCTCCTGGGCTATCCAGAAAAACCCACTCGCCTGGGCCCAAAAGGTAAATGCAAGAGGGGCAGGAATGGGTGGGGTGGGGCTTGGTTTGAGATCCTGGTAGGGACCTTCCTCAGCTCCATGCTGTCCTGGAGCCCACCTTTGCCCCTAACTAGGCCTAATCACCGGCCTCCTCTAACTATCAGCTGTGTCTTCTCCCTCAGATCGCTAAGAAGGTGGGCTGCCCCACAGATGATACAGCCAAGATGGCCAAGTGTCTGAAGATTACTGACCCCCGTGCCCTGACAATGGCTTACAAGTTGCCCTTGCGTGGCCTGGAGTGTGAGTGGATGCTGCTGGGCTTGAGGCATGTGGGATGGAAGTGTAAGGAGACCCCCTGAAGGGCAAGGTTGAGCTCTTAAAGAAGACAGGAAGGTGCAAGACTGGGGGCCTGGCAGGGCTGGAGAGATGGCTCAGCAGTTAAGAGCACTGGCTGCTCTTGCAGAGGACCTGGGTTCGATTCCCAGCACCCACGCAACAGCTAATGACTGTCTATAACTCCAGTTCCAGGAGATCCAATGTCCTCTTCTGTCCTCCACGATCATTGCACAACATGGATGGACTTACATACATGCAGGCAATACACATAAAATAATAATAATAATAATAAAAGGCTAGAGCCTGACCCTGTCCTAACTTGCTGGGCTCCTGTTACCATCCCCCGGCGGATGGAAAAGGGAGAAGAGAGGGTGCTGATGCCTCCTATAAGAAGCCAAATGTGGGTCCCGTGCTTCTAAACAACGCACAAATATGCAGGAACCTACACACAGTTTCGGGGAGATCTCGGACCTCAGACCCAGGGCCTCTGTGCTAGATGACCACTTCTTACCTTCCTGGTTCATGTGGCCAACACTTGCCGACACTCCTGTATATTTGGCTCATCCAGCTTGAGCAGTGTCCCCTCCACAAGGCCACAAGATGAAGTCTACACATGCTTCTGTTTATGGCAACAGGAGAATGCCAGTGGCATCCCACAAGCAGGCCAAGGCCAGGGGCGCTGCTCCCTTACACATGCAGTCACCCTCTATTGCAGGCTTATCCAGGCCCCAAGGTCCCTGGGGTTGGGGTCCAGGGACCCTGGTCTAGATCAGAGGAGGAAGGAAGTCAGGTTTAGTACAGCAAGCCGAGGGGCGGGCCAGGCAGGCATGGGAAGCCACAAGGACCTGTTGACTCTCCATCCCCCCCACCCCCTCACCTTCCATCCTCCAGACCCCGTCTTATGCTATCTGGGGTTCATCCCTGTCGTTGACGGAGACTTCATCCCCGATGATCCCATCAACCTGTATTCTAATGCTGCCGACATTGACTACTTAGCCGGCATCAACAACATGGATGGCCACCTCTTTACAACCATTGACATGCCGGCCATTGACAAGTCTAAGCAAAACATCACAGAGTGAGCAGGGGACCCAGGGCCTGGGGCAGTGTGGCACCTCATGACAGCTTGGAAAGAACAGGCTTTGGGCAGCCTGACCCAAAGGCAGAAGGACACGTGTTGGGGTGGGTGTACAGGCAGACATCCTTCCATTTATACCAGGGCCAGGTCCACTGTTGGCTTCATCCCTCCAGGGAAGACTTCTACAGGCTTGTTAGCGGGCTCACCATCAGCAAGGGGCTCAGGGGCGCCAAGGCCACCTTCGACATCTATACTGAGTCTTGGGCCCAGAATCCAACCCAGGAGACCATGAAGAAGACTGTGGTGGACCTGGAGACTGACATCCTGTTCCTGATACCCACAGAGATGGCTCTGGCCCAGCACAGAGCCAATGCTAAGTAAGGGTCTAGGATGGGGGAGGCGTCCCTCAAGGACCCCCTGGGCCTCTGCAGCTCCATGCTGAGGGTAATAGAGGCATACACCTTGTCCAATCATGTGAGAAATGTGAATTCAGATGCAGATAAAAACCATCTTTGACACTGAATCATGGCAAGAAGCAGCCTTCAAATGTAGAATGTAAAGACACTTGAAACCACAGATCTGTAAATCTGGGCTGCAGCTTTCCCTTCCCCAATGTCAGAGCCTCAGCTTCTTAATGAGTCTTGGGGACCCCCACAGGCCCTCCTGTGCTCCATCTTCCTCCAGGGCTCACTTCTGGGCTGGGCAGCCCTAGGAAAGCACTCCCTAAGCCAGCTTCCTCTGCTCCCTCAGGACTGCGGTGACTTACTCCTACCTGTTCTCCCACCCCTCTCGGATGCCCATCTACCCCAAATGGATGGGAGCCGACCATGCCGACGACCTGCAGTATGTCTTTGGAAAGCCCTTCGCCACCCCCCTGGGCTACCGGGCTCAAGACAGGACTGTGTCCAAGGCTGTGATCGCCTACTGGACCAACTTTGCCAGGAGTGGGTAAGATGTGGGGTTGAGCCCAGGACTGAGGGCCTCCTGCCACTGCGGCCCTGTGGGGGCCTTGGGCTCTAGTTCTGTTCCCTCATTTGGGCCAGCTCCTTATCCTCCCTGAGTCTAGATAGCTAATTTGCACATGACCCAGCCTCAAGACCAGGCATACGATCAGCAGGGCTGGGCACTGCAAGGACAACGAATGGGTACAGAGCCAGCTGGGAACTTGGGTCTCCAGCCTCCCAGCAGCTCCTTGACCCCACTCATTTTTTGTTTGTTTTGTTTTTCCTTCTACAGAGATCCCAATGTGGGCCACTCGCCTGTGCCCACCCACTGGTACCCCTACACCACTGAGGATGGAAACTACCTAGAGATCACCAAGACGATGACCAGCAGTTCCATGAAAGAGCACCTGAGGACCAAGTACCTGAATTACTGGAGCCTGACCTATGAGGTGTTGCCCACAGTAGTCAATGACCAGGACAGGCCTGTGCCTCCTGAGGATGACTCCGAGGCTGTCCCTGTGCCCCCGACAGACGACGCCCAGGCTGTGCCCCTGCCCCCCACAGATGACTCCCAGGCTGCCCCTGTCCCGCCAACTGGTGACTCTGTGGAGGCTCTGATGCCTGCCGCCATTGGCTTCTGATGTCTTGTGAACCTTAGCCCCAGGGTGCTTAGCTCTTCATGAATAAAACCTCAGCTGTCTGTGCCTGGCATCTGTCCTTGCTCCTGAAACTGGCATGGACGACTTCGATCGACACAGGTGCTTGGTTTACTGCTACCCTGTCCTCACAGTCGACCCCCAGAGTCTGGAAATCAAAGTACTATATTCAGCTTAGAGCAGAGCAAGGAGATCTAGAGAAGTTGAAGGTATGTGTCGGGGCGGGGGCGGTGTCTCTCCAAAGCAGGAGCACCTGGGGATCCTAGCAGACTGCTCTATAGCATTCTCGAGCCCTGGCCCTGGCATACGTAGTCATGGTGCTCCCGGTGGAGGGCATCTGGGATGCAAAGAGCCATGGGACATTGGAACCTGGCTCATGGGCTTCAGGAACACCATGGAAGGTAACCCACTGCAGGTTTAATCACTGAGCTGGGACCTTCCCAGACACGGAACCAGCAGGGAACAGAATCCTGAGGCCCAGGGTTCCAGGAGGCTCTCCATAGGCAAGGGGTTGGCCAGGCTCCGGCCTGTCCACAGCAATCCTCTTCCTCAGGCTTTTTCTCTCCATCTTCTGTGCTGACCTGTTCACCAGCAAGCTTAAAACACTCCTCTTCCTCTGCAGCTGTGGGATGGCCACCAGCCTGGGTCAAGAAATAGCTCTTAGAAGTGTTCTTTGAAGCCAGCGTCTTGCTGTGCTGGTCAGGCTGGTCTCAAAACTCCTGAACTCACTGGGCATGGTGGCACATGGCTTTAGTCCCAACACTCAGGAGACAGAGGCAAGTGGATCTCTGTGAGTTCAAGACCAGTCTACATAGTGAGTTCCATGTCAACTGGACTGGGGCTACAGGGAGACCCCCCCCATCTCAAAAAGACCAAAACAAAACAAAACAAAAACCTCCTGGACACAAGTGATGATCTTCTGTCCTCCAAGGGCATTGTGCACTTGCATACATGCAGGCAATACACTCATACACACAAAAACAACAAAATATTTTTTTAGGACAGGGTCTTTCTTTGTAGCTCGGGCTGACCTCCAACTTTCAATCCTCCTGTCTCAGCCTTCCAAGTGCTGAGATCACAGGGGTATAAATCATGCCCAGTCTGCACATGTTGGATTCTTAAAATTGTGGGAAACAGGGCTGGAGAGATGACACAAGCAGTTAATAGCATGTGCTGCTCTCACAGAGGACCCCGGTTCCCAACACTAATGTCTGTAACTCCAGGTCCAGGGCATCTGATAACCTCTTCTGGTGTCACTGGTACCTGCACACACATGTACATAACCCATCCAGATACACAAACATATGCATAATAAAAATTTTAAAAAATGTGATAAGTGGGTGGCCTTAAAAGCACTTGTCATGAAAACCAGACAACTCAAGTTTGATCCCCCAGAATCCACGTAAGGGTGGAAGGAGAGAACAGGCTGCACAAAGCTGTCCTTTGACCTCTGCACTCGCACCAATGGCATGTACACTTCCCCCACATGCTGAAAAATGTTCATTAAAAATTGTGATAAAATACATACAACTTCGGCTAATCTAACTATTTTCAGGAGAATTATACTTTTATGTTGCCATCACCACTACCTATTTCACCCCAAGCAGAAATTCTGGATCTGCTGGGTGTGTTGGGGCACACTTTTAGTCCCCGCACTCAGGAGGCAGAGGCAGGCGGATATCTGTGGGTTCAAGGCCAGTCTGGTCTACCTAGTGGGTTCTAGGTCAGCTATAGGAAGATCCTTTCTCAAAAAGACCACCCCCCGAAAAAAAAGAAAGAAATTCTGGATTCACTAAACCCTGACCAAGGCTCCCCACCTCAGTCCCTGGTAAGTTCCATCCTGTCTCTGTATTTGTCTGTTCTAGATGTTTCTTTTTTCAATATGTTATTTACTACTTTTTTATTTTATGTGTATGAGTGCATTGCCTGCATGTGTATTAAGTGCACCCATATTGTGCGATGTCCTTGGAGGACAGAAGAGGGCGTTGGATCCCCTGGAACTGGAGTTACAGGTGTTTGTGAGCCACCATGTGGGTGCTGGGATTCAAACCCGGGTCCTCTGCAAGCAGTCAATGTTCTTAACCACTGAACCATCATCTCTCTGGCCCCAGCCACTTTGAACTTTGAGTATCCCGAGTCCTTTATTTTTCTTTGCCAATATACAAAGGTTTGTCAATTTTGTTAATCTTTTCAAAGAATCTGCTCTTCTAATCTCTACATCAATCATCTCTATCCTGATCATACAGGTTTTTCTATACATCAGGTTTTTTTTCATTTATATGTGTGTATGTATGGTGTGCATGTATTCACTAACTACATGTATGTGGATGCACATGTGTGGCTGCATGTACATGTAGAGGCCTGAAGTTGTCAGGCATCATCTTCAACTGGGTTTTCACCTTAATCATTGTGCTGGATAGCTTTAGTGTCAACTTGACACACCTGGGTTGAGGGAGCCTCACTTGGGGAATTGCCTCTATTGGACTGGCCTGTGGCCATGTCTGAGGGGCATCTTCTTGATGAGTGATGTGGGAGGGCCCAGCCCACTGTGGGTGGTGCCACCCCTGGGCAGGTGGGCCTGTGTTGCATAAGAAAGCAGGCTGAGCAGGGGCCAGGGAAGCAAGCCAGTAAGCAGCGTTCCTCCATGGCCTGTGCTCCAGCTCCTGCCTCCAGGTTCCTGCCCTGAGTTCCTACCTTGGGCTCCCTGATGATGAACTTCGACCTGGGAGAGGTAAGCCAATAAACCCTTTCCTCCCCAAGCTGGTAGTGGTCAGAGTGTTTTGTCAGAGCAATTGAGGGCAAACTAGAACACCATTGAGACAAGGCCTCTCAGTCAAACCCAGAGCTCACTGCTATGGCTAATCTTCGTAGCCGGCATGCTCTGGAGATCCTGTCTCTGCCTTTCCAGGCTGGAATTACAGGTGGGGAGCCTCCACCCAGAATTTATGTGGGCTTGGGAGATCCAAACTCTGGGTCTCACATTTGTACAAGCAAGTGCTTTAACTACCAAGTCATCGCCCCTGCCTGTTCTCCTGTTTGGTTGGTTGTTGCTTCCTTTTGTATTTTGTGTGTGTGTGTGTGTGTGTGTGTGTGTGTGTGTGAGTGTGTGTGTGGTGCATCCGGTGTGTGCTTCTGTAGGTGCAGGTACCATGGTGCTATGGCTTGTGGATGGCAGTCTGGAAAACATCTGTGGTGTCAGTCCTTGCTCTCCCCTTGTCCTGAGCTGGGTCTGTGCTGCTGTGTGAGCCAGGCTGGCTGCCCACGAGCTCCTAAAGATCCTCCTATCTCCACTTTCCGTCTCCCTATAGGCCAACGCTTGCAGGACTGTATCCAACTTTTACTTGGGTCCTGGGGATCCAAATTCGGGCCAGGCCTTTACCCACTGAGCCGTCTTGTTTTCCAACACAGAGCTACA